ATCATGTCTGTATGGTTTGATGTAACAAAGGGACTTTTATTGTTGCTTTCGGCTTAACGGTTTTTATGAATTCCAAATTAAATTGATATTATTGGTGAAAATATTTTCATCATCATCACCACATAACAACAACAACAACAATACTACTACTATTCATCATGTGAACCTTTAAATGACTAAATAGCACCCAATGCTCATGAGAAAGGCTACCGAAGAAGAATTAAAGAAAATTGAAGAAAAGGAGCTTGCCAACTATCCATCCAAGACTCAAAAGGTGATTGGTGTTCTCAAGAATCTTCAACAAGAGTACACGAATTTGGAGGACGAATTCGAGAAGGAATACCAAAAACTCAGAGAAAAGTACAATGCTCTTCAAGCTCCAATCCTTGTCAGAAGAAACGAAATCGTTACCGGTGAGAAGGACGCCACTGAAGAGGAATTGTCCAAGGTTACTTTGCCTGAAGTTACAACTGAAAAGGCGGAAGACCTTAAGGGCATTCCAGATTTCTGGTACAAGGTTTTGATCCACTCTGAAATTAGATCTGAATGGATTCAAGAGGAAGACTTGGAAGCTCTCAAGTATTTGAAGAACATTGTGATTGAAGAATTTGGTGCCAAACCAAAGGAAGCAGCAGCAACTACCGAGGAGAAGAAGCCAGAAGAGGAGGAAGAAGAAATTGACTTCAAGTCCAATCCTGGATTCAAGATCATCTTCCAATTCAATGAAAATCCATTCTTCTCCAACGAATCTTTGGTCAAGACCTACTATTATGAAGATGCTGATTCCGAAGACATTGCTGCCAGTGAAGGAACTGAAATTCAATGGAAGGAAGACAAGGATTTGACTGTCAAGATCACCACCAAGAAACAAAAGCACAAGTCTGGTACTAGAACCAGAACAATTCAAGTTAAGGAACCAAAGGATTCCTTCTTCAACTTCTTCAAGAATCTTGAGGAAGAGGTCCAAAAGGAAGAAAATGAAGAGAATATGATGCTTCAAGAATTGTTGGAGAATGAAGCTGAATTTGGTGACCTTTTCAAGGATAGAATCATTCCTAATGCTGTTAAATATTTCTTGAATACTGCTCTTCCAGAAGAGGGTGATTTTTCAACTATTCCAGAAGTTACTGACATGATTACTGCTCAAGTCAATGCTGCTCAAGAAGGAACAGAGCCACCAAAGCAAGAATGCAAGCAACAATAAATTGTGTGCCAATAATTTATTAATGAGCAACTGTGAATGTTTGTTTGGATCAAGGTACCAGCACCGATCTGAGCTTAGCTAATTTGAACAGAGTCTCTAAAGGCTTAGCTAATTTGAACAGAGTCTCCAAAGCCAAGTTTCATTGTCATGTTC